GATCTGCCGAATCAGGGGGTTTAAACCAAAAAAAAACCGTTGAGGGGAGGCTAGGCAGCGTCTGCCCCGCGGAGAGGAACCTCTGCAGAGCTGGGGTGTGGCAGGCGCGGGGCTCTGCGGCTCCCACGGAGCGTCTCGTTTGGGGCGATTTCAACAAATGCCTAAAAAATTCCCCCCCCTTCGCGCGCAGCAAAGTACGATCGTGTGCCACAACCGGGTGGATCCCAACGGGTCCCGGTACTTGCTGGGGGACATGGAAGGACGGCTCTTCATGCTGCTGCTGGAGAAGGAGGAGCAGATGGACGGCACTGTCACCTTGAAGGACCTGCGGGTGGAACTGCTCGGCGAGGTGGGGCTCGCCGGGAGGCTCCGCAGGCTGGAAATGCTCGGCTGGGGACGGAGTGGCGGGAACGGGGACTCTTTTGGAGCTGGGGGGTGGGGTGATGTTTCCCGCTGGTCCCAGCTCTGAACCATCGGTTGCTCTGGAATTCCCAGTTTTCCCACTCGAACGTTTTACACCGTCTGCCCGGGTTTTTGCGCCGTCCCTGGGGGAAGTTTGGATTCTCCGAGGTGTTCGTAAAAGGGTTAAATTCCCCTCCGGTGCTCAGGGTCTTCCTGTTGGGCTGCAGCTCGGGATGAGGGGCTGGTGGGGTGGGGCAGGGTCCTTGTCGCGCTGGCGGGGGGTTCACCTGCCTCTTCTCCATTCCCAGACCTCCATCGCAGAGTGCTTGACCTACCTGGACAACGGAGTGGTGTTTGTCGGCTCTCGGCTTGGCGATTCCCAGCTTGTCAAGGTACGTGGCAGCTGTCTTCTGCCTTAGCTGTGCGTTCAGGCAGCGTTTTGCGCGTGTTTATTTCCACCCAGAGGTGCGCGCGGGTACGTTTTCCTTTCTCCTTGTCTGCCCCCGCGCCCTTCTCGCTTGCTGGGTCTCGCTGGGCGAAAGCCGACGAGCGCCTTTGTTCGTAGCTCAACGTGGACAGCAACGAGCAGGGCTCCTACGTAGTGGCTATGGAAACCTTCACCAACCTCGGTCCCATCGTCGACATGTGCGTGGTAGACCTGGAAAGGCAAGGCCAAGGGCAGGTAACGTCCGTTCTCCTTTGCTTTTCTCCACGCTGGGGCTGTCTGGGCTGGCCAGAGGGATGTGGGGGTCGCTCGTGGAAGGAAAAGGGACTGCAAACCGTTTGTTGGAGGATCTCG